GCACTTTCGTTTCTGACTTTCACTTTCAAAACCATAAGAAAGACGCCATCTTCAGCCTCCAGCTCAAAGAAATTCAATTTGAAACAAAGTAAGTCTGGAGTTAAGCTCTGTTACTTTTAAGGCTTGTTCTCCTGTTTCCACTCTGCCTCTGCTTGTAATCAATCAGACTCACTTTTGACAGCAGGAGCGGTCGCGGCTTCTAGCTCTGTTTACACAGACTTGTCCCAGATTCGGAGCTTCTTGGTGGGCTGACTGGGGAGCTCTCACCCGCCAAGCCTCTGGAATTATTCCAGAGGACTTTCGGGGAGCTCTACTCTCACCCACTGGCTCTCCTCTCCTTCTTTTCCCAAAGGGGAGGTTTTTCAGCCGCCAGACAGCCAATTTGCGCTGTCAAAGTGGCTTTTACGAAGTCACGGGGCTGGCGGTCTAAGGAGACTGTCCACGAAGCCTGCGGTGCCAACCGGAAGTCCGAGAGAGCGATTTTCAAAGATGCATTAGTCTCAAATCTACATTCAAAAATTTTCAAAAATAAAAGCAGGGGGAGGAGCAATGTTAAAGGAGAAAGTATTATTGAAGAAGAAGGATTGGAAAAAATATAGAAAGAAAGGAAGAATTGAAGATTAATTTCTTTTGGGGAGGATCTTAATAATAAATTTGAAAAGTCTATTGAACTATTGTTAAGCATGCTGCAATGGGCATAAATGATGACCGGTCAAAAGTGCGAGGACCAGTCAAAAGTGCGAGGAACTGTCAGAAATAACTTTTTTCAGCCCTCTGGGTAGTCCCTATGTGCATATTGACTACTCAGAGGGCTGAAAAAGTTATTTTTGACCAGTCCTCGCACTTTTGACCAGTCCTCGCACTTATGACTGTCCTCACATTTTATGTTTTTCACCCTATCTTGTCACCATGGTGAAGAGAAGCAGTTGTGAAATGAGTGACACAGTTGTTAAGAATGCTGCAATGGGCATAAATGTGAGGATGGTCATAAGTGTGAGGACTGGTCAGAAATGACTTTTTTCAGCCCTCTGAGTAGTCCCTTTACACATAGTCACAGCCACCCGGTCACATGACCACCAAGCCACGCCCACCCGGTCACATGACCATCAAGCCACACCCACCCAAATAAGCCATACCCACAGAACTGGTTGTTAAAAAAATTGAATCCCACCATTGGATGGAAGGGAGGAAGAAGGGAGAGAGGAATGGGAAGAAAGAAAAAAGGGGAGGAAGGAAGGGAGGGGAAATAAGAGTAGGAGAGAGGGTTAGAAAGGGAGAAAGAGAGGAGGAGAGGCAGAAAGGAAGGGGAAGTAGAGAAGGAGTAGGAGAAGAGGGAAGAAGAAAGTAGAAACGAAAGAAGGGAGAGAGAGATTGAAAAGAAAGATTGCTGTACAATAAAAAAGATAAAATGGAAGAAAGACAACCCCAAACATGCATAAATGTACTAGGATAAAGAATGAGTTATTAAAAAATAAAAGGGAATAAATATGAGTTAAAACAGAAAAATCAGAATTTGAGGGTGAATTAAGATGTTGTTTATATAAATAAGCATAGAAATTTTAAGACATGATTAAAAAATGGAAAAAGGAAATTTTGGCAAAAATTGTAAGTGAGTAAAATGTACTTGAATATGTTAAACTGTACAAGTTATGATACTCTGTTCATAAAATATGCAGGGGGAAATGGGGGGGGGGAATCAATAAAACTTAATTTAAAAAAAAGTTTCCCACATGTTTGCTGGTTCATTTGTTGAGATCTGATTCTTTAGCTTTTCAGAGTAGCTTCTTTTTGCTGCTCTGATCTCCCTTGCTAATACATTTCTGATTGGGATATTTTCTTTTTCTCTCAGTCCTCCCTTTCTGATCATGAGAGCAATACAAACCAAAGTGTTAAAAGCATTTTAATATATTTAGCTAAAGCCAAAACTTCTCATAGATTATATGTAAAACATTCTTCATTTAAAATGAAGAGAGGCAATTACTTGGATTAAAGCGTTACAGCAAAATACTGCAAGGAGATTTAGATAGGCTAAAGGTCCGGAGCCATTTCATGTTGACATATAATAGTTCGCCATCTGATTGCACAGGTGGATCTTTTATTAGTGACCTCATAGAAGGTTTGTGTGTTAACACTGATTTTATTGAAGGGATTCTAGTCAATGTAGAGGAAGAAGAAGAACAAGAGCTTTCAGTAAGTAGAGAAGTGGTAGTACGAGGAACAACTCCCATAAGAGGAATTGACGAGGGCTTGGAGGCTGTAGGTGTGGACACTGCAGAGGACACACACTTTCTAAAGACCACAATTATCACACAAAGTAAAAGGAGGATAGACAGAACAGTGATCAAAAACATTAAAATCTTCCCTCCCAGGCCAGAAAAGATGGAGAATACTTCAACAATTCCAGTATCATCAAATGACTCAAACGATGAAATAGGGCCATCCTTATAATTTTTAACAGCTTGGCATATTTTTTCGATGTTGGCAAACAGAGTACGATTACCATCAGGGATGTATACACAACATGAGGAACCTATTAATTTACAAATGCCTCCTTCATGTGCAAGATCTACTAGAGCAATAAACCCTTCTTATAAAGTATAAATATGGAAGAGGAAAAATTGATTACAATAAATATAAATAGACTTAATTTAGCTATTAAAAGAAGAAAGACATTTCATAAATTAGAAAAATTAAAGTTTGATATAATTTGTTTGCAAGAAGTACATATTAAAAAACAGCATGAACAAATATTGATACAGCCAAAATTAGGGAAAATATTTACTTCATTGCCACAATGTAAGAACCCTAGCAGAGCAATGACACAACCCCAGTAGAGCAAATTTATTCAGATGATGATGGAAGAATTTTGATGGTGGAAATAACAGATAAATAATATGAAAATACTTTTAATAGCAATATACGGTCCAAATGATAATCAAGAAGAATTTTATAGAAAATTACATATGAAAATAATTGAATTGGACTATGATAATATTTCCTTGATGGGAGACTTTCAATGATATAGTAGATGAGAAATTAGACTACAATACACAGAAAACAACAAAGCAAAGTAGAAAGATTCTTTGGAAGTCTTTCTTTAAAATGGTAGAGGAAATAAATTTAAAAGATGCGTGGAGAGAAAGAAATGCAAAAAATAGACAATATACTTTTTATTCAAATAGACACTCATCATGGTTTAGAATAGACATGATATGGACGACAATGGAATTGACTTCTAACATAGAAGAAATTGACATAGAAGTAAACACCTGGGCAGACCATAATCCAATGACAATGAAATGGAAAGGATAAAGGAGAAGATCTAGATGGACCTTAAATAATACAGTACTAAAAGAAAAGGAATTTGTACAGAAAATGGAGAAAGAATAGGCTTTTTAAAAAAAGAAAATAGAAAAGAGGACACATCAATGCAAAATCTTTGGGATACAATGAAGGCCTATGCTAGAGGTTTGATAATAGACTATACAAGGAAAAGAAATACTAAGAAAAGACAAGCTTATAAAACATTAGAGGATGAACACAAGAAACTCGAAAAAGAATTACAGAAATTTCCACAAAAAAAGGACACTAAAATAAAAATGGACACAATTAAACATAAAATGGGATTAATAGAAAAAGAGGATTTAGCACAAAAAATTAGAAGTGCTAAACAGAACTATTTTGAAGACGCAAATAAACCAGGTAGATGGTTAGCATACAAACTGAAAAAAGAGAATCAAGAAAAATAATACAACTAGTAGATGATCAAGGGCAAATTAGATATGGGAATAAAGAGAAGAAAAAAATTATACAAGATTATTATAGAAAACTCTATGAGCAAGAGAATATTGAGGAGAAAATCTCTTACATTGTTCCCATACCACATTGATGCCCAATTGTGGAATGAGAGTGTTGAAAAATCGATTCCACCTATTGGATAGAGAAAATATATCCTGAATGTCTCTTTTCTATTGGGACAGAGTGACAGGAGCATGAAGATCCTGTGGTTTCAACAGGGGGAGAAGGCCAGGAAAGATTCTGCCCAAAATGCACCTGCCCTTCCAGCCAGGGGGAAGTGTGTGATAAGCTCAATTCCCACAAATAAAATGGGAGGGGAGACGTTACTCCAAAAACAAATTTTGCAGGTGAAAAGGCAAGAAGTTCTTCAACCGCAGCCTCATCCTCACTGCTTCTAACAGATTCAATGTATGGAGCTATTGTACTTATCTGCATTTCCATGTTTAGGTAACAATCATGAAAGCTGGAATAGTTAAAAAATTGACAACAAACACTATAGACTGGCACGTCAAGAGGAGAATTATAGATTGTTGGCACCTTATAGCTCCAGTCAAAGGTAAACTTATGGATTTTCCCTTCATTGGCCTTAGCCACCATGCGTTCAAACGATTCAAAATCAAAGCAGGGATATTTATGTCAGGGGTCAAATTGTCAGTTGTTGTCTGCACTAGGGACACCCGGTTTATGCTTTCATTTATTGTAACCAAATTGGGACTTAAACAAACAAGGCCTCATTGAAACATTACTAGGAAATGGTTGCCAGATAGCAATAAGTTCAATGGTGAAATTGCAATTTCCATATACCCATATTAGTGAGGCTATACTTCTAGGTAATGACATCATGGGATTCAATACAAAAATGTCCCGTTTCTGTATCAAGTAGGGCAAGAGATTTCAGTGGTGGGATGAAAGAAACCAGTAGGACTTCTGTTATGGTCAGTGATTTGGCGTAAATTTCAGTTGATTGTCTACAGCTTTTTGTTGATACCAGGAGCGTGGGACAGCTCTGGCAAAGATAGAAACCACTTTATCCATATCTCCAGCATAATTACACACCCAACAGTCAGTCAGATTTTCTGACGCATGGACAGCATGGTATGTTTCTGTCATGGTAAATGTCTAACTACAACATCTCCCTGATCACCCGGCCCTGCAAGGGTTAACTGACCACATATCCCATAACCCCTGTAACCACTCCTTACCTCTTTGCCCCTCCTCCTGGGTATAATAGCTCCAACCACGAGGTCCACACATGATTCCAGATGTATACCTGAAAGGTAAATGTACAAGGTCAGTGACCTCCAGTACCATTAAACCTACAATAAAGCTAAAGAAAAGAATTGAAGTCTGTCTTTGAGTTATTGGGCTAGATCCAGCTTTTAACAAAATGGTAGCAGAGGTCGGTTGCCCATAACTCCAGATAATGACTGAACCCAATATCTACCCTGAAGAAGCAGACAGAGTACAGACCAGAGCTCTTACCAAGAAGATGGCTGAGAAACTTGCAACGAAAGCCACAGCCATGGAGGAGACAGAAGCTGGAAGCGAGCAGGACTCCAGCCTGGACTCACAATCAAATGAAGAGGGGCCATCTAAGGAAATCACCGCCCTGGAAGGAGAAACAACACAGAAAATGAATAAATTCAAACTCTCCATCCTGAAACTGATGGAGGCAAGCAGCGACAAAGAAAACCTCATCACGGACCTTCAAAGCCTCTTCGAGCAGCAAGAAGCAGCGATTGAGGCCCCAAAGACCACCGAGAGAGAAAAGCTAGCAAAAAAGGGTAAGCCACCCCAACCCGATGATCCCGAGCTGGCAGAATCCATTTTCGCGCCCTCTTCCCGGCGGCCATCTTGGGACAAGCACCAGCCAATGGGATGCCAGGATTTGAATCCCTTGGCGCGAAAATGCCCGAACCCCGAAACAGACGAGGGGGACTCAGAAAGCGACCACGAAGAGATCACAATAACTAAGAAAAAAACACCTACCGATCTCGAGTTGCAAAAGGCAATTGAGACCATCACCGCTGCCCTCGGCTCCGCTTTCGAGCCTCCTGCAGCACTCAAAAAATCAAAGAAAAGTCCCGGAAAACACAAGAAGGCCAGGACAACCAACGACGACCAGGTGACTGAGCCACAGCCAACTAAAAACACCGCGCACACCAACAACCGGCACAAAAAACCGCCCACCTGCAGGAAGGATCAACCGTAGGACTCGAACTTGCCACCCGCTACACCAACTACGCGAGGCCCGAGGGAGAAGAGAAGAACCGGCTACTCGCCCGCGCCACGACATCAACCAGGCCGATCCACGTGACCAGGGACCAGCGACCACGAGGGAGGATCCGCCGCCACCGCCGCTGCCATCACCGCCGAGCCGCTGGGTGCAGGGAATCCCCAACCTACGACCTCCGCTGCTGCCATGCTGCCGACCCATGGAAGTCCTCGACTTACGATCGCATCGCCTCCTCACCTTCTTCCCTTCTTCGCCGGGGATCCAGCCATCCAGCAGTGGTGTCCACCTTCTGGAGGAACCTTCGGACCCACCGGGGGTGGGTCCAGCCTCCCACCGACAGGCCTAGGCCTAGGCCTGGGAGCTCCAACAACAGGAACCTCACCCGATGGACTCCAGCGTGGAATGAGCTTCGCGCATGCCCAGTACCTGCCTGTAACAAGAGAAGCAAGCTACATAGATCCAAGCAGGTACAGAATGGCCACAGACATCCCAAAGCCTTATTGTGAGTTCAATCACAGTTTGGACCATAGACAGCTCCCCCCCAGTAAGTAACCTTACTAACATTTCTGGGGCAAATTATGCCAATTTGCCAAAATTACAGTTAGATGGGGGTAATGTTATAGAATGGAGTCAACAATTGAGAATTGCTCTCATGAGAGAGAATGCACTGTTCCTAGCTAACAGACCTCCCCAAAAGCCCTGGTCCCTGGAAATTGACTGTATTCATCACAGGGCATTTTGTATCATGTTAACCTCCATTCCATCTGCTATGTATCCATCTATTGAGGACAATCTGACTGTTTATGATGTTATGCAAAAACTAGGTAACCTGTTTTATAGCCAGAGTAGAGCCACAACCACTAGAATATCTAGGGAGTTCCACTCCACCAAGCACAAGGCAGGGGTCCCCATGAGTGAGCACATTTTAAAGATGAATGCTACAAGGGCAGAGCTCATGCAGAGGGGGGGAAATCATCACTGAAGAGAGCATGATAAGCATAATCATAAACTCTCTTGATAGCAGTTGGGACAGCTTCATAACCCAACTAAATAGCCTCAGCTTGCAATACCTAACACTAGGCACACTGACCAGTCAGCTCATTGCAGAGGACACTCTGAGGAGGGACCGCCACCTATCCAGAAGGGATCCTAGACCCACGAAGAGGGTGGATTTCCAAGATAGGGCCAGGGATACCTCAGAATGTTATTCTTGTGGTTCAAGGAACCACTTAAAGAGGGATTGCCCCAGGAACCATAGGGATAGGGGACAGCATGACAGCAGAGGGGGGAAGTCACCTGAATGCAGGTACCCAAAGGAAAGGGGGCGAGGGTGGTCACCCAACCCCAGGAAGCACCACGAGCGCAGAGACCACTCCAGGGATAGTAACCCTGGCTCTATGTATGGGATCAGGCACGATGACCCAAATGACAAACATAAGGCAGAGAGAAACACATGGCTCCTGGACTCAGGGGGCACAAGCCACACTACTTGTAACCCAGAGCTGCTAGACTCACTCACAGAAATAGACTCAGAAATAAAGGTAGCAAACCAAAGCAAGGTCAAAGTAGTGGGGAAAGGAAACGTGCACATCACACAGATAGGGGATTTAAAAGGGGTACTGTACGTGCCAGAGATACCCCACAACATACTAGCCATCACAAAACTGACACGGGACACAAACATAGAGATAAAATTCAAAGATGGAAAGGCACACTTGATCAAGCAAGGGAAAGAGATAGGAAAGGTAACCATACATGAGGGACTTCCTTACTTCACACCCAATGCAAGAGAGGAAGAAGGCTTTGATACCAACACGAACCACAAAGTAGATGAGTGTCCAGAAATAGACGGGGTGCAGCAAGAGGCAGGAAGTGGCCATGGGAATGCCAACAAGTCTGTATCTATCGGGAAACCGCTGCATGATAACTGCGCCCACCTCCTCCACAGGAGGCTGGGACACATAAGTTTCCCCATTGTAAAGAAAATGACGGAATGTACCAAAGGTCTCAAAGTAAAGAACTGCGAAAACTATTTGGAGTGTTCGATCTGTAAGCATTCTAAGATCAAGGTTAAGGCCATCCCCAGGGGATCCAAACGAACCACAGAATCCCCCTTCCAATTGGTGCATATGGACTTGGTAGGGCCATTGAAACCCTCTGTAGGGCATAGGAAGCAATTCTTCCTCACGATTGTGGATGACTACACCAGATGCGGGTATGTCTACTCCCTCAGACACAAAAACGAAGTATTCCAAAGGTTTAAAGAATTCCACAGAAGAGTAGATATGCAACATAACATGAAAATAAGGCAAATAATGACAGACAGGGGCTCAGAATTCATGGCCAAGGAATTCACGAGGTGGCTGAGAGAACAGGGCATAGCGCATTACACCTCTTCACCTTTCTCCCCCTTCCAAAATGGGGTCTCAGAGAGAAAAAATGGCGTGTTGCAAACCATGATGAGGTGCGCTCTGGAGGATGCTGGGATGGGGCAGCATTTCTGGTCAGAGGCACTGCACTATGCCAATTACACCCTGAATAGACTGTGGTCAAGCTCTATCAATAAGACACCATACGAGATGCTATACAACAGAAAGCCCAACATCGCACACTTACACATATTCGGCGCACCAGCCGATGTCCACATCCCCAGGCAATTAAGAAAGAAAGGGGAGAAATTATCAAAAAGACTGAGATTCGTGGGTTATGAACCGGGCACAAAAGGCTACAGATTTGTCGACAGCAACAACCATTTTGTGGCTTCCAGGTCAGCCAGTTTCCATGAAAATGCAAACTGGTCGAGGGTACACTCCAACGACATTCCCACCAATAGGGTCACATTCGAACATGGCCAGGGGGAAAAGGAGGTCAGAGAGGTCGGAGGGCATAAAGCCAACAATCACAAGACAAGCGTCAGAGAGTGGAAAGGAGGGCACCCTTCCCTGAAGATAGATGACCTGACAGACAAAGAGGCAGACAACATGCAGGAAACCGAGCCAACCCCCAGCAGGCCAGTCAGAGAAAACAGAAACAAGCTGCCAAGGAAGCTGGAGGACTACGTCATGGCCATCCACAACACCCATTTCACGCCCAGCTCATACGAAGACATCCTCGGGCTCCCCCAGAAAGAGAAAGAAAAATGGATGTCTGCCATGGAAAAAGAGATGGAGAGCCTAAGGAACCTCCAAGTATACTCACCTGCCCAAATTCCAGAGGACAAAAAACCAATAGGAACCAAATGGGTGTTCAGAGTTAAGACATTAGAAGACAACAAGGTCCTATACAAGGCAAGGCTAGTTGCACAGGGTTTTGCCCAAAGATACCCCGAAGACTATACGGACACCTACTCACCTACCGTCAGGGCGGAGAGTGTCCAAAGTGCCCTGGTGGTGGCCACCATCCTGGGCTTGGAAGTTTTCCAATTCGATGTACAAACAGCGTACCTACACGCCGAGTTGGACAAAGAGATATACGTCAAAGCACCGCCTGGGTACAACGAGGGCGAGAACCAGACGTGGCTGTTGAACAAAAGCCTGTATGGGCTCAAGCAGTCGGGCAAAAGGTGGTATGACTGCCTAGCCAAAGCTCTCAGATCCATGGGCTTCGAGGCCACCTCAGCCGACAAATGCTTCTTCACGAAGAGAGAAAACAACACATTCGAAGGCGTGCTCGCTTACGTGGATGACATCTTGTACATCAGCAAACACAAGGACAGATGTGACAAGTTCGCCACTGAGCTGGGTAGCCACTTCTCCCTAAAGTCACTTGGAAAGATCGATAAATACCTAGGAGTCCAAGTGATAAAAACCGACAAGGGTTTCCGCCTCTCCCAGAGAGAAAAGATCATTGAGCTGCTGTCCAAATGCAACATGTCCGAAGCAAAACCCAGCGAGACTCCCATGCAACCAGAGTTCCTGAAGACTATGTACGAGGAATCTGAACCTTTCACAGACAATAAGTTGTATAGATCAACGATAGGGTCACTGCTGTATATATCCAACTGGACCAGGCCCGACATCGCCTTGGCCGTCAATCTGCTGTCCAGACATGTAAGCAAACCCACAGTAACACACTGGAACGCTATCAAAAGACTACTTAGATACTTAAAATTCAGCGCGGATGCCCAACTCTGCCTGGAGCCAGAAACATCCGAGAAACCAAAGCTAACCTGCTATGCTGACGCTGATTGGGCTGGGGACATAGAAAGCAGAAAAAGCACCTCTGGCTACGTGCTACTACTCAACAATTGCCCCATCCATTGGTACACTGGAAAGCAAAAACTGGTAGCCACATCAACTACGGAAGCAGAATTCGTTTGCCTATCCAAGGCCGCAAACAACTTAGTGTGGTTCGATGACCTGCTCTGCAACATCTGGGCTGAACCCTCATATCCAATAGTCATCCACGAAGACAACAAGGCAGCGATAGAGATCTCAAAGGCCGATGCTATAGGTCAGCGATCTAGGCACATTGACATTAAATACAAACACGTCAGGCAGTTTTCAGAAATAGGTTTCATTAAGGCAGTACACTGTGACACAGAGGAGCAAACAGCAGATATTCTCACTAAACCCCTACCACATAAACAGCATGCGTACCTCATATCTAAAATGCGTGTTTACAAGTAATCCGTGCCTGTGCGTGTATATTCTCTGTATGTATATAACCACTTCTCCAGGTACCCAGTTAGACATTTAGAGGGGGTTTTGTCATGGTAAATGTCTAACTACAACATCTCCCTGATCACCTGGCCCTGCAAGGGTTAACTGACCACATATCCCATAACCCCTGTAACCACTCCTTACCTCTTTGCCCCTCCTCCTGGGTATAATAGCTCCAACCACGAGGTCCACACATGATTCCAGATGTATACCTGAAAGGTAAATGTACAAGGTCAGTGACCTCCAGTACCATTAAACCTACAATAAAGCTAAAGAAAAGAATTGAAGTCTGTCTTTGAGTTATTGGGCTAGATCCAGCTTTTAACAGTTTCAACCAGATTGAAATAGGCATTTCTAAAAAGACCACTGAATTCAATACTCTTAAGGGGCAAGCATCTTGTCGTCTGCGTAGCACAGATTCTTCATTGTGGTGCACCCTGTGGTGGCAAGGAGGCTCTGGTAATGATGCAGGGGTTGTAATAGACTGAGCTTTTTGGACTGTAAGGTGAGTGATCTTGTATAAGTGAAGCACAGTGCTGAAGAGGAGCATGGCAGCGATGGCCCGGACCACAGGCATGAGTCCTGATGCAGGCTGTTTCTTGCAATCTTTGCTGGGCAATCATTGCTGGACTGTTCTTTTGTTATTCATTGATGGTAGGCAAGGGTAGGGTTACTCAATGTTGGCATGGCTTTGGGTGAAGGTTTTTATGGAGAGCGGGGGCAGAGGTTACTAGCACTTGCCTCCCTGTTAGGCAGAGCTTCTGTCTTTGCCTTGTTGCAGCTAGGTGACCTGAGCTGAGTGGCTTCTTCATATGGGGCTGGTACCTTCTTACAGTGTGAAGCATGCACCCAGAAGTACAGATGTTGACACATCACAGCAGTATTGGTGGTCAAGATGATCTGGAATGGATCCTTCCAATGAGGAGCTAGGTAATTCTTTCATTGAAATATCTTCACCAGTACCGAATCGCTAGGTGCCAGGGAGTGGCAAGGATGTAGACTCTCTTTTGGAAGCACAGCGCCAACCTGTGAATGACATGCCTTTAAGGTTGTGACAAGGGCATGGCAATAGTCTAACACAGTGGTTCTCAACCTTCCTAATGCCGCAACCCTTTAATACAGTTCCTCATGTTGTGGTGACCCCCAACCAGGGGTGGGTTCTAAATTTTTTTACTACCGGTTCTGTGGGTGTGGCTTATTTTGTGGGTGTGGCTTGGAGGTCATGTGACTGGGTGGGCATGACTAGCTGGTCATGTGACTGGGTGGCCATGGCTATTTGTATAGGGACTACCCAGAGGGCTGAAAAAAGTGATTTCTGACAGGTCCTCGCACTTTTGACCGGTCCTCACACTTATGACCATCCTCACATTTATGCCCATTGTAGCATTCTTAACAACCGTGTCACTCATTTCACAACTGCTTCTCTTCACCATGGTGACAAGATAGGGCAAAAACGTAAAATGTGAGGACAGTCGTAAGTTCAAGGACTGGTCAAAAGTGCGAGGACCAGTCAGAAATAACTTTTTCAGCCCTCTGAGTAGTCCATATGCATAAAAGGATACAGCAATAGAGAGGGATGAAGGAAGGGAAGGGAAATTAGAGTAGGAGTGAGGGTAAGAGAGGGAGGAAGAGAGGAGGAGAAGGAGAAAAGAAGAGGAAGTAGGGAGGAGAAGAAAAGGGGGAGGAAGAGAAAGTAAGAAGGAAAGAAAAGAGAGAGGTGGTAGGTTTGACGAGAAAGATTGCTGTACAATAAAAAAGATGAAAGGGAAGAAAGCCAACCCCAAACAAATATAAAGATATTAAGATAAAGAATGAATTGTTAAATTTTAAAGAATAAAAGAGAACAAATATGAATAAATAACAATAATTAGAAACACACATACAAACATACAATGTATTTTCTTTTGTAGGAAGTTAGCACCCACCCCTTTCCTGGAAGAGTGAATTATTTTAGGAAATATGAAAAAGGCAGAATATTATATTTCCCTGGGATAAGCATGTTTTGAAGCAGCTCCCATCTTCCTGCCCCCACCCTTTGTCAATGGGCCATTAAGGCCTGGGCCAGTCTATTCTACATAACAAAGATCTACCTCCTTCAGACAGAGCCATAGTAGGAATTGCCAAAGATCCAACAAAGATAGCATTAGCCCTCTACACAATAGCAGCAGAAACTCACCACATGTGACCTGGGAAGCATATGTGACCATCAGCCAGCAAGGCTAGCTAAGACCCCCACCCCCTGGGAGTCTGACAACCAATCGGAATACTCTTTCAGGGCCCCAAGAAATGCAGAGCCAGAGAGAGCATAAAAACCCGAGGATTTACTGTATCTGCCTTTTTCTGTTCAGGAACTCAAGCCATGTGATCCTGTCCACCATTAAACCATATTTCCAAGCAGTCTCCATGTTTCCAGTGTCTTTTTCCCCACTTGGAGCAGAACCTAGAAGATTTCTTCCAACACTTTGAACAGAGTATTTGGCCGGTTCACAAATTTAAATAGTGTTTAGTCATTACAATTAAATTTACAATTTCTATATTTCCTTTTTGCCATATTTATTCCTCATCTATTTTTGTAAAAAACCAATATTACCCTTCATCTTCATCTCTAATCTTAATCAAATTCAATTTTCCCTTCTATTCTATATTATACCCCTTCCCATTGTCATCTATTTTTATATCCATCCTCACATTGGTTAATTATGTAATATTACAGTTGTTTAATATAAATTCAACATTTTAATATAAATCAATTAGTTATATAACTACCTTTTTTGTATATTAATCAATATGAACATGAATATTCCAATTATTTCCATGCCATCCAATTTCTTACAAATCAATTAATTATATTTACCAATAATAATAAACCAAATAATTTCCCCCATATATTCCTCCAAACCACAACTTAACCATTTCTGCTTTCAACACAATATACAATTAATAGTATCTCAATTATTACAATTCCCTAGTTAAATAGAGCTTTTTTTCTTTTGTGTTTTAAAATCTTGAACTCTCCTTTTTTGCCCTAAATTTCCCATTGTTTGCACCTACCTTTTTTGGTGAGGAAAAAGAAAAGAAATCTGCCTGCCTAATTTTCCAACATTGCAGCAATAGCAAAGCCAACAGCCTCTTTACTTTCAGTTTCGTTTATCAGCATAGCTAGGGGGAAAAAATTGCTCCAGCAAGCAGCAGAGCCCTGAGCAAAACAGCTGAGAGCAAATCAGCTGAGAGTTGGGAGCTGATCTAATCAAGGGCTAATTAGCCTATGTTGAAGCTCCGCGGGCCAATAAAATTACAAAAAAACACTGGACCGTTTGTTAAATTGCTGGCTCGCCTGCCCCTCGCCCACCACTATTTATTGGCAATAAATAGTGGTGCGGAAGGGCGGGGCAAGCCAGCAACTTAACAAATGGTTCGGCTGCACCACTGGCTCTAGGGCGGCCCTTTGAAGCCCCGCGGCAAGAATTTAAACAGGGTTTTTCCTCTAGCCATCAGCTGGGACTCAGGAGGCAACAATAGATTGGGAGTGGGCGGGGTAAGCGAACGGCCAGCGATCCAACAGAGCAGAGAGTGAGGGTGAGTTAAGGCATGGGGGGGAGAGAGGGCTTTGGCAACCCCTGTGAAATGGCCGTTTGACCCCCAAAGGGGTCGCGACTCCCAGGTTGAGAACCGCTGGTCTAACATGATACTGTCCAGGACTTGTATGTCATCCAGGTGCAAAACAGATGGAGGAGAATGTGTTGACCCATTAGTATTTCATGAGGGGATAGGCCAGTTGTTTTGAATGGAGTCATCCTTATAGACATTAACACTAGTGGCAAACAGGCCATTTCAAATTGATTTCGGCACACAGTTTGGCTATTTTATTTTTGAGGGTCGAATTAATTCTTTTAACATGGCCTGACAATTCCAGATGGAAAGAACAATGGAGCTTTTGGTGTATTTGAAGAGCCTTGCAATTTTTTTAAAATTACCTGGTTTGCAAAGTGAGTACCTTTATCACTTCCTAAATAGATAGGGATACCAAATCAGGGCAAAAATTCCTTAAGAAGGCATTTAGCAATGGTGACAACATTTGCTTTTGCACAAGTGTTGGTTTCAACCCAACCACTGTACATACATACAAGAATGAGCACATATCCACTTTGGCATTTGAATAAAATCCATCTGAATGTGGACAAAGGGACCCCAAGGTGGAGGGTGGGAGTCAGGTTGACTGGGGGTAGAGGAACCGATATTATGTTGCTGGCAGATGATGCAGGTAGAGCAAAAGTGTTTAGTCAGAGCATGAACTCCAGGAGCAAACCATTCTTTGTTGATAACAGAAGAACTCCCTCCTGACCAACATGGACAGGCCCATGTTGGAGACAAACAAGCAAGAGAGAATATGGACAGATGGGACAGCCATCCTGATGATGCCACACACTTGTGGAATCAATAGTACAGTCAGAATTGCACCATATATAATGTTCAGAAGTGGGAGCAGAGGCCTGGGTGTCAGCAAGATGACCAAGAGAAGCAGGGACAGAAGGAGGAGAAGTATCTGATACACAAGCAATGGCAGTGCGGCTAGAGGAGCAAGAGCCACCTGCTTGGTGGTTGCACTAGCCAATGAGTTTCTGACAGCAACTACATCAGAGGAGATCTGATGGGCAAGGCATTTCACAACAGCAACATGAGAGGGCAGCTGCAGCACATCCAACAAATTTTTAACATTTGCATTCTTTATTGGAGATACTTGGGCTGTAAGGAATCCAGGAAGGTTCCAAAGCTGGCTGAAATCATGGACCACTCCAAAGGCATAGTGACTATCTGTATAGATGATGGCTGAGCGGCCATCCACCACCTGGAGAGCTTCAGTGAGGGCAACTAATTCAGCAACTTGTGCAGAGCATACTCCAGGAAGGGGCCCAGACAGCAAAGCCAGAAATCAAGGTTCCAGCAGGGGAACAAAAACAGGAACCATCCGTAAATAGGAGGAGATCAGGATTAGGGAGGGGAATATCAGAAAGATCTTGTTGTGGCTTAGAGAGCATAGAGCAAAGAACTTCACAATCATGAGGTTTACCATTCAAGGGAATAGGAAGTGAAGAGGCAGGATTTAGAGAAGGATAATGCTGTAAAGGAATATGTGGGGAAGAAAGAAGCAAAGCTTCATATTTAGGTAAGGTGAGAGGCAGATAGAAATTTAGTCCTGGTGTGTGACAGTAGAGCAGAAACAGAATGGGCAATGGGAACAATGAGTGTGTGACCAAGAACCAGATCTGCTGACCGTTTGACCAGGAGGGCGGTGGCAGTGACCACTCACAGGCAAGGGGGAAGGCCAGAGACCACAGGGTCCAAGGCTGTAGAGAAGTAAGCAACAGGCCTTTGTGCAAAACAATAAGACTGAGTGAGGACACCAAGAGCAAAGGAGTCTTGTTCAGGACAGTAAAGAGTAAAAGATTTTGAATAGTCAGGCGGTCCCTGGGGCAGAGGACATGATTTGTTTTAAAAGTTGGAAAGAAGATTCAGCAATGAAGGACCACTGAAGAGGTTCAGGGGCACCATGGAGGGTGAGACCATAGAGCGGACAGGCTAAGGGAGCATAGGAAGGAATCCACTAATGACAGAAGCCAGCCATTCCAAGGAAAGAGTGCATAGCTTTCCAGGTAGTAGGTTTAGGACATTGCAGGATAGTCTGAACACAAGAGGGTAGTATGGAACAAGAACCATGGGAAAGAAGCACACATAAGTAAGTAACTTGAGGGAGGCAGAACTGCAGTTTTGACTTAGAAGTGTTGTGGCCTTTAACAGCAGGGCTTTGAAGCAGGACCAGGGAATCAGTTAAGCAGGCTTCCATGGTAAGAGAGACAAACAATAGATCATCTATGTATTGAATAAGAGTAGATTCCATGGGGAATACAATATTAGCTAAATCTTGCTTCAGAAATTGAGAAAAAATGGAAGGAGATTCACAATAGAATGCCAGGTTATTTGCAGGCTATCATATTGAAAGGCAAACAAGAATTGGAAGTCAGGATGAATGGGAATAGAAAATAAGGCAAAGGAGAGATCTATCACAGTAAAGTATTGGGTAGTAGCCAGAATGAAAGATAGAATAGTAGCAAGATTTGGGACAGTAGGATAGGATGGGGTAACCACAGAATTTACCTTTTTCAAAACCTCCAGTTATCCGAAGCCCTTTTTTGGACAGGTAAGATGGGGGTATTGCAAGGCTCTGAGTAGGAACCAATATGCCCTGTGTAGCAATGATTCAATGACAGGGCAAATACTCTCCTGAGCCTCCATCAATATAGGATACTGAGGAACTTGAGGAAGGGATTTAGTAGGGTCCAGTTCATGTGGGCTGATTTGGCAGAATGAATACAGCCAACATCATCCGCATGGGCAGACCAATGGACTTCAGGGACCTTGGAGAGGAGATCGTGGGAGGCAATGAAGAGGCAGGAGGACAGACAGTAACCTCAGCTCTTTATTTAAGTGAGTGACTTCTGCCCAGGCTTAGCCGGCAGCACTCCCTTTTAAAGGGAGCAATCCCACCGATTCAGCCACTGACAATGCTTTACATTTCCTTCCATTTGAATCCACCAATCAGCGGTGGGCTCCATTTGAATCCACCAATCAGTGGTGGGCATGCAAATGTCCAGCTAAACCCAGACCTGAGTGAAGCCTACATCCCTGGCTTCACTTGCTATTTACATATGTAACACCCCTCCCTTCTGGAATAGTCTTACCTAATCATCGGGGTCTACAACACATAGTCACCTCAGTAGGCGGGGTGTTGATGGTTCCTACCTGACATGCGTGGTTCATTCGAGTTAGCGGTAGCAGCCTGGATAGTCAGGCCTGCTGCCGCTCCCACTCCCTGGTATGGAACTTCCTGGAAAATTTCTGTGGGTGTGGCGGACCCAGCCTGGCTTACTTCCCTAGAGTCTCGTCACTGGCCGCTTGGCCCTACAGATGGGTGTGCTGTTTCCCTTGGGCTTGAGAGTAGATCCCCTGTGCCTAGGTCAAGTAGGCTGCAATCTATGTTTGTTTTGTATCCTGCTTGGGGCAGGGCACTGTCTATTTCTATTGTCTTTTCATGTTCGGTTTGGGGTTGATTATTTTCGAACTGTCTTAGGTTCGAGTTCCCTATTCGTCCCTGGAGTTGGTCTATGTGCCTTCTCCAAACTTTCCATCCTCTAGTTCTACTTGGTATGATTTGGGATCTGTAATGTTAATTATTTTTGCCTTTAACCAGGCAGAGGTCCCTGCATAATTGTGAGCATATACTAGATCCCCTACCTGGAAACTCCTGACCTTACTGGCAGAATTTATGGGGGCGTCTGTACTATAATTGGGGTGCAGTCTGTCTAATGGGGATCTTAGCTTTCTTCCCATGAGTAGCTCAGCTGGACTCCTATTCGTGGTCGCACTAGGGGTTATATGTTGCATTAATAGGAATTTGTCTATTTTGGTTTGCCAATCCCCAGGGCCCATTCTTGCTAGTGTTTCTTTGGTCGCTCTAACCATTCGTTCAGTCTGTCCATTACTGGCTGGCGAATATGGGGCGACCAATGCATGCCGTATGCCCTGTTCAGCTAAAAACACCTCAAATTGTCTGGTGGTGAATTGTGCCCCATTACCTGATACCAAGACATCGGATAACCCGAGTGGAAATTACCTTCCTTAACACCCTAATTATTGCCTCGGCCATTATGCTGGGCATCAAATTGACTTTTAACCATTTTGAGTATGCATCTACAATGATCAAGAATGTTTGGCCTTGGACTGGTCCTGCTAGATCTATGTGCAATCTCGACCATGGGGCCCTTGGTTTGTCCCACTCTCTTATGGGGTGGCACTGATCTAGATTCCTGACAGGGGGTACACGTTGCCACCCACTCTGTAACATCCCCATCCATGTTGAGCCACCACACATAACTCCTAGCCAAAGCCTTCATGCATACTATCCTGGAGTGACCCACATGCAGCGCTTCTAACACCTGTTCCCTTAGCTTTTGTGGAATTACCACCCTGTCTCCACACAATAGGCACCCCTTTTGTACCGACAATTCCCATTTCTTAATTACAAATGGTTTATATTCCTCCCCCCCATGGTTCCTCTGGCCAATCTCTCAACACCCAATTCAAAACCCTTGACAGGATTCTGTCTTTAGTCAACTGACCCGCTATGTCCGTTGCTGTCATTGGGATGTCTATGGAGTCCTCAATGAGTAGAATGGGTGCTATTGGTGCTGGGTCTTCTATGAGGTCTGGAAGGGGGCACTGGCTGAGGGCATCTGCAGATCCGATGTCCTTGCCCGGTCGATGTATTAACTGGTAATTGTAAGCCGCTAAGAAAATTGTCCACTTAGTCATCCTTGGTGATAATGTGTTTGGTGTTGACCGGTCTTCTGCAATAAGTCCCAGTAATGATTTATGATTCGTGACCACAACAAAGTCCCTTCCATACAAATATTAATGGAAACGCTTAACCCCAGCTACCAGGGCCAATGCTTCCTTATCTAATTGACCATAGTTCCTTTCTGTTGATGACAGTGTCTTTGAATAGAACACAATAGATGTTCTGTTCCGTTTGGCATCTTATGGCTGAGCACTGCCCCTACTCCAAATGGTGATACATCACATGCTAGTATTAGGGGCAGTTTCAATATACTGAATGAGAAAACTCTGTGTTGATAATAAGTTCTTTACTGCTCTGAAAGTGGCGGCTTCCTTCCATCCCCACTTCCAACTGGCTTTCTTATCTAACAGTCTATGCAATGTTCAGCCACCGTCACCTTCTGTGGCAAGAAAATACTATAAAAATTTAAAAATCCAAGAAACGCTTGCAACTCCATCTGATTTTGTGGTGTAGGAGCTTCCTTAATAGCTTTTATCTTACTTTGAGTGAGGTGTATCCCTGACCCATCAATGAGATATCCTAAGAATTCAACTTTAGGCATGGCTATTTTACATTTTTCCTTATTTACCTTCAACCCAATTTCTTTAAACCGCCTTAAGGTTTCCCTTACCCTTCGTAATAATTCTTCTTTGCTGTCCCCTGATATGAGGACATCATCAAAGTATGGAACTACTCTGGGAATGCCTTGTAACAAGCATTCCATTATACTTTGGAATAGCCTGGGGGCCATGCTTATCCCAAATTGTAATAGGTTGCATTTGAATGCCCCATGGTGAGTTACAATTGTTTGTGCTTCTGCCATAGCATCATCTACCGGCAGCTGCTGATATGCTTATGCCAAATCAAGCTCCTCTATGGCCTCCTCTATGTTGCTGAATTCACAGTGCGCCGCAGTTTTCCTTAGGGCTGCAACATATTGATTGATGGTCTCACCTTCCTCTTGGTTCCAATGATAAAACACATGCTTGTAAATCATCAGAGAGGGTACGGGAGTGTAGTGAGCCTGGAGTGCTTCTTGCAACGTTGGCCATGGCACTGTCTGCAGGTCAGCAGTTTCCGAAACAGCTTCGGCCATGTCAAGGACTTCGGATCCACAGTAGCTCAGGAAAAGTGCCCTTTTTTGATTGTCCAAGAATTCTAGCAGGTCGTTGGCTTCCAGGAAACAATGGAATTGAAGCATGTATTTCTTCCATGTTTCCTAAGCTGGGTTGAATGGAGCTGGTGGAGCGTAAGACATCATTCTGGAATTGATGCAGTGGTTCAGCTGCTGGATAATGGTGGATGCCACGTGTTGTTCCTTCTGTTCAGTCTGAGTCCTTCATCCTCTTCAATCCCACCTTCGTTGCCAGTGTTAGATCGTGGGAGGCAATGAAGAGGCAGGAGGACAGACAGTAACTTCAGTTCTTTATTTAAATGAGTGACTTCTGCCCAGGCTTAGCCGGCAGCACTCCCTTTTAAAGGGAGCAGTCCCACCAACTCAGCACTGACAATGCTTTACATTTCCCTCGGTTTGAATCCACCAATCAGTGGTGGGCATGTAAATGTCCAGCTAAATCTGGAATCTGAGTGAAGCTTACATCCCTGGCTTCACTTGCTATTTACATATGTAGCAATCTTGTTGTAAGGTACTGAGGGAAGATTCAGAGAGAGAAGAAAGGGGAAACAGAGAGCTGATGTCAGGAAGCAAAGAAAGGCAAGCAAGAACAGGATGCTCAGCAGAAGAAGGGGGATCAAGGTAGAATCCATTGGGCTGACAGTAGATAGTGCAACCGAGTTTTCACAGAAAATCACAACCCAAAAGGTTAATGGAGGAGCAAGAACTAATCAGAAAGGCATGATCAGTAGAAATAGGTCCCAAGGAAACAACAGTAGGTTTGCTGACAGGATGAGGGATAGACACATTAATAACACTGACAGGATTAATAATGAGCTGAGAAGGCTGCACATGGGGGAAGTCAGTAGCCCGCAATGTGGAATGAGCGGCTCCAGTGTTAATGAGCAGTTTGTTGGGAAGACCACCAACAGAAAGAACAATTTCAGTAGTCTTTTATTCCTCAAGCCTATCCATTCTTTCACCCAAGTAAGTATCGAAGCCTGATAATACAATTCCCAATCTGGTACAAAACCAGATACAAAAATACAAAACCACTTTTAGAATCTTGCAACATTTTCCAAATTATTCTTGTCTTTTCCCCCCTTGCCAGATATATTTTAATATATCAAAATATTTTTTCCCAGCTTTATTGATGTTTGAAATAAATATAATAATCTTGGCAAAATATTTATTTTTATAGTGGCTACTCTTCCCCTCAGTGATAGTTGTAAATTTTTCCACTTCTCTAAATCTGTTTTAATTTGTTGTGCCAATTTATAATAATCTACTTTAATTGTTACACACCTTGCCATTAATTGAATTCCTAAGTATTTAACTTTCTTGACTAATTGTATACCTATTTTCCCCGTTAGTTCTTTTTTCTGTGTGTCTGTGACATTTTTAACTATTATTTTAATTTTATATTTATTTTCAGTCCTGCTTCTTCACCATATTCTTCTATTTTCCTAATTAGTTTAAGTCCAACTGACTTTGGAGGGACATGATCTTGAAATAGGTTGGCATGCCTTTTTATGGTATGGAAAAAAAAACAAAATACATAGCTAACATAAAACTACGTTAGAAATTCACTATTATTAGTTTGGGAGAAAATTAAACAACAACATTATTTGAAAATACAAGTCCGGCTTTCAACAATGGAGGCATTGATTTATCCAAATGTTATTGATATAGAGAATGTTGCTAGATATAAAAATATCTTAAATGAAAAGGGGGAACTTAAAAAGCAGGAACTGAATGACCAAGGGATTGAGATAACATGGTGGTCATATGTGCAGACACAATCTAGATATGAGAAGGATGTTAAAATGTATGGTTTATATAGAGAATTAACAGAATCAGATATTAATAGGGACAGATGAAAAAATTAAAGAAAGAAAATATATAGCTATTTGTTAAGTATTAAGATGGAAGATGAACAAGTAAAAGAGACAATGATAGTACGGGCTAAGAAAATTGGCTACTCAATTAAATTAGACCAATGGCAGAAATTATGGGATAGAAATTATAAATTAACAATGTCTACTGCATACAAAAAAAATCTTTATAAAATCTTTTATAGCTGGCATTTTCCGCCCTCAAAGTTAGCAAAGATGTTTAAGAATAAATCTGCAAAATGTTGGAAATGCCATCAGACACCTAGTTCATAATATCATATGTAGTGGACATATCAAAAAGTGAAAAAATATTGGACAAAAATATATAAATGGTTGGAAAAATGATAAAACAACATATAGATTTGAAACCAGAAACATTTTTGTTGGGCATTTTATCAGATAAGTATAATAAAGGGAAAGTATATCTGATTTTACATTTATTAAAGGCAGCGAGAATAGTATTTGCACAACAGTGGAAAAATGAAGAGATCCCAACTGATGAAGACATGATTAGAAAAATATTAGAATGTGCAGAAATGGACAAGCTAACACTTACAATTAAGGAAAAGAAAGAAACAAAATATTTTTTGACCTGGGACTTATTTTAACAATGGCTAGCTGACAAAAAAAAGATGTATCAAATTGGTTAAACAAATAGTATGAGTATTATTGGTATTAATATATATTGATATAAATGCGATGAATATTGCTGTAAACATTTTGAATATTACTTCCTAAAATGATTTGTACACAGTCAACACACTATTCAATTGAAGTTGGAATTTTTATATACTATAAAATAAAAGAAAAACTTATTACAAAAAAAGAAAAGAAAACGTGAACCTAAAAAAAAAAGAAAAGAAAAAAAGCAAGAACAATTTCAGGGTTAGCAGAGTCAAGAGGAATGAGGGGAAAAGAGGGAGAAGATGAGGCCGATAGTCATTGAGAGGAGCAAGAGGGAAAATGGAGAGGGGCTCGTCTATGTCATGGGGTAGGCATCCGGAAGCCAGGTTGTGAAAAAGGTTGATGGAAAGTTTGAGGAAAAGGATGGGGATAAAGTTGAGGGAAAGGCTGTGGAGAAGGGGGAGTAGGTAAGACAGCAGGTCCACCTCCAGAGTGTAGCGGAGGGGAAGAAGACAAGTAGGGACATGAGGGTTTGAAATGGCCCACCATTCCACAATGGAAACAGAGAGATTGCTGTTGCTGAGAGGGAAGGGCCAAAGGAAAGCTTGAGTGAGTTGAGGGAGAGTCAGAGCGAGGGGGTTGAGCAGGTGGGTTTCAAGAGTATGTAATTGCAAGGCCATCAGTTTGGTCTCCTTCTCCACCCATTTTTGCTTAAGAGTTTTAGCATAATACAATCTGCCATGGAAAAATTTCAAACAGAGTTTTCGCCTCCCAGCCAATAACATTGATCTGAATAGTCTCAGCAAGTTTGGGGAGCAACCCATCTACAAAGAATGAAACCATACCTTCAGTAGCATTGGTACAAGGATCTTGTACACCTGAGTGTTGTTTAAATGCCAAAGGCATTCCATAAATTCAGCCGGAGAGTCCTGGTCTGATTGCTTACAAGCTTTGATTTTACTCCAATCAGTTTTAATATTTATTTAGTAAATAAAGCCCCCCTCATTTGTGATCTTATTCAAGAGGGGGGAGCGGACCTGGCAGGTATCACGGAGACCTGGTTGGGCCATGAGGGGGGAGTTCCCCTCGTGGAGATGTGCCCATCAGGCTTCTGTGCATTTCATCAGCCGAGAGCTCAGGGCAGGGGCGGGGGGGTGGCGGTCATTTTAAAAGAAGGTCTTGATCCGAGGGAGACCACTGTACCTCAGATAGCCGGATGTGAGTCCCTTTTTGTGAAGTGGGGTCGTGGGGTGCAGATGGGTCTGTTGATCACGTACCTGGCTCCCTGCCACGTGGCAACGACCCTGCCCGAACTCCTCAATGTTATAGCCGAGGTGGCGGC